GACTCCCAGTCCAGAGCCCCAGCAGCACCTCAGACCTTCCTTGTATGATTTTCCTCTGGGCTGGAGGCATAATATGGAAAAAACCCAAATGTTGGTGGGCAGTGGCCGGAGCACATCTCCAAATGGCGGCACAGTGGGGCTGCTTGGCGGCCCTTCTGTGTCCTGGTGTGCCGGGCTGAGCTCCACTCTGGAGCAACACGGCACGACGGGCACTGCCTCACAAGCTCGTGCTTCGCTGCTGTGTATGATTTTCCTCTGGGCTGGAGGCATAATATGGAAAAAACCCAAATGTTGGTGGGCAGTGGCCGGAGCACATCTCCAAATGGCGGCACAGTGGGGCTGCTTGGCGGCCCTTCTGTGTCCTGGTGTGCCGGGCTGAGCTCCACTCTGGAGCAACACGGCACGACGGGCACTGCCTCACAAGCTCGTGCTTCGCTGCTGGGTGTTGTAGCATTTTCAGAAGCTGAACAGGACACAGAAAACTTGCTGAGTCCTCCAGCAGCTACTCTGGAGCCAGATACTGAAAGTTCAAGCCTCCATGGGTGCGGGTTCTGCTATCCATTCCTAGGCAGGCAGTGCTGCTGCTGCAGTTTAATCCTTACTGGAGCCTGTAGATTTTTAAATATTTGGCCCCTGCATAGCCAACTTAAATCTAGAAATGGAACAGACAATCCTAAATAATGTAGGCATCTTAAAAACATCTACCTGGTACCGGTACCTGAGGATTTTGAAATTATTGCCAAAAGCTTAATCCTCTTTGGAACCTAATATCTGGCTGGTGCAGCCAGCGTCTCAGCTGCAGGAAAGGACACCCTGGCACCAGGCGTGAGCACCTGGGGCTGTCTCCACCAGCAGTGGCACGCCAGGTTACAAGGGGAATCCTGGCTCCAGCTGCAATCTCCTGGACGATAAACCCCATGGGGGATGTCTCTCTCCCACTCTTTGTGTTAGCATCAGGGGGAAAAGGAGCCAGGATGCTTCACCTTCACCTTAAATTTCGACAAATGCCCTGTCGAAAATCAACCAACCCACTACCGCCAGGCACTCAGGACGGTGCTGGTCGCAGCGATGCTCGGTGCAGAGCGGGGCAGGCTCATCGCTGCTGCCTTCCCCTGAGGCTGCACCAGGCTTCGGTCTTCAAAACTGCCCTCCCAGGGCCAAGCCCCACAAAGGGGTCCGCTAGGCTGGGGCAACAGCAACACCTCATTAAGGCTGCGACAGAGAAGCATTAAGCTTTTGTTGTTGAGAAAGACCTTAAAGGTTGGCAGGAAACGAAAGACGCCAATTCAGAATTATCTGAATGTCGGCGTTAAGTACTACTGAAGGGTGAAAAGAAGAGCAATATAAAAAAAATATAAATTCAGGATACTTCTGTTTTGGAAGCTTTTGTTAAAGAAAATACATTTGAGGTTCTGGGCACTAATTTCAATATTCTGAGATGATGAATTCAGTGGGAATTTCCTGAGTCTCTCCCACATGCCAGGGAATAACAGCACTGAGGTGCTGCTGGCAGATCCCTCCAGCCTTTCAAATCTCGGGTTTCTATTGTTTAACATCAAACGACCGACTGCTTTAGTGGGTGCTTTTTGTTAACACCCTTTGGACTTTGATGCTGACCGTGAAATATTCCCCGTAGCAAATCCCACGGCCGTTCTGCCAGCCCCCACGGCTGGTGGTTGGCTGCTTCGTGGGTGACTGGCAGGTGGCACAGAGGCTTTTCAGCTCGGGCTGAGCAGACATACCCAGCACAGTTTTATAGAGACAGAGGTACAGGTAAGAGGATATATATAGAGAGAGGCACAGATAATGATAAGACGTAGACACAGAGATATATACAGAGGTATGCAAGGGGTTCCTTGCATTTTCTTGCAAACAAATTGTGTCTGAATTCAACCACTGTGTTTGAGCCCTTATTTCCAGGCACAAGATCCTCACATTCTCAGATAAAACAGTTTCTCTTCATCTTTAAAGTGTTTCTTCGTAGCTTACGTGTTTCCGGTCGCTATCAGCAGCTTGTTGTACTCCATCTTAAATCCGTCCTTGAACACGGCTGTCTTGTTCTTGATATCCACAGCTGCAACCTGAAATCATTCCTAAACCATGTTAAGGGATGAAATCCCAGATTTTCACTGAGCTCCCAGCCCAACCGACCTGTCTTTTAGCTTTTAGGCCCCTGTGCTCCTCCCCACTAACCTAGACCTTAACTATTGCTAGTCGCCTCCCCACAAATCCACGAAGGTTTCCCAGTATAAATAAAACCAGAGTGGGGAGAAGTGGTTAAACCGTCGCTGTGTCACTGCTTGCAGGCTGCTCAGCGTGGCTGAAGACCAGCTGCTCAGATCCACTTGAGGATGCTGGCAAATGGCAAGTGAGACGAGATGGTCCCCACAGAGCGTACACAAGGAAAGGAATCCATGAACTCTGGCTTTGAGCAACCACAGGCAACCTGTGCTCCCGGGCATAAAACAGGGGGGCTGGGGGACACTCAACTTTTCTGCAACAGCAGCCAGTGAGCCCAGAGGAGAGCGAGCGGTCGCATTTCCCAAACACAACCTTTGCCCACCAGCACCTGCAGAAGATGGCCTGAGGGTACACACAGGACTCCCCTTACCTGCATTTCGGTCAGGACTTCGATGTCGTAGGTGCAGAAGAACTCCTTAGGGCGCAGGGCTATCTGCTCTGGGTGGGAATCCATGGACTGCAGAAAAATACAAAACCAAAACCAAAACCACATCATTTTTCTGCCAACTGCTGCGGGTTGACGAGTCAAGTGGAGAAATGCCTTTTGCCAACACAAGTCAGCAGTAGCCTGAAGTCAGTCTTTACGACACGGCTTAAGAGTGGCTCTATGGGAGCTGGAATCAAAGCCTGTTCAAGTAAAAGTGGTGACAAGGTGCTGGGCTGGGCGCTGGCCCCTTCTCTGCCTGCTCGGCACGGGGGTGGCACTGACCGGCTATGGCAGGACTGAATGTCTGCAAAGCAGCTCCCACTGCAGCTCCTCCTAACACAGATGTTCACAGGAGCAAAAGAAAAGCCCCCCAAAAAACTTCAAGATCAAATCCAACCTGAGTTGCTGTCTGATAGCAAGTGAGGCTAAGGAATCAGCAATAAAACATTTCAAAAACAACCATTTGCCAGGGGAAATAAAAGCTCAAAGAGCAGGAAGAACAATCGGCGTTAACACAGCAAGGGCAACACTCTCAAAAGCACCAAAGTTACACGGCACGAGTTCTCTCAAGAGCTGAAGCAGGAGCATGTGGCCCGTACCTGCTCATCTTTAGCTGCAAGATAAAGGCTCTTGCTCTTCCCAGCCCTCCCTGGTCACTTGGGTGAGACCTACAAAATCTTTAGAGGCAGGGCGGACCTCACGTTTGAGCCCGAGTTCATCTAACTCTGCAGACAAGCACAGGCATGGGCTGAGGACAAGCTGAGCACCAAGTGTCCCGTTTGAGCCTTGGGGTCACACCTGTGCAGCCTGCTCTGGGAGAACCTGCTCTGGCAGGGAGTTGGACTGGGTGATCTCCAGAGGTCCCTTCCAACCCTGGCTGTTCTGTGATTCTGTAATTCTGCAACACCGTGCTCGGAAGAGACTCGTGTCTTAGAACCCAAGGCAGCTGCAGGGTCACAGAGGTTTTACTGAAAATTCTTGAAACACCTGACGTCTGCATAGAGGAGTGTCCGACCCTATCGCTCGGGGTGCAGCACACAACCACCGTGGGCTTTGCTGCTGCCCGGTGCTCCAGAGACAGCACAGGGATGTTGCAGCACAGGGAGCAGGTCATGGTCCAAAGGGGACGAAGAGAAATGGTCTGGTAGGACCTCGGGACATACTGATAACAGGCATCCAGCAAGGCAGCGGAAGGGCAATGCGGTACTTTCAGGAGGCAAGGAACAGCTTTACGTGCTCCTTCTCTAATGACTCCACCAGGGTTAGTCCCACTCACAACGGGATTGAGAAAAACACCCTTTTTTCTTAGCCCACTCCCCAAAATTCTGCCTTCTCGCCCATGGGCTTTGCACACCTTCTAAAAGCAACTGCTGCCAGAGGTGTTTAGCAGAGAGTTTAACAAACCACATGTAACGTCTCCAGTGTGTGAGATGTTTTCCATCTCTAAGTGTGTTTCAGAGAGCTGCCTGCCCAGGACAGGGACTGTGAGCTTCACCAAGCTCCCCAGCACAAGCTCTGTGACGCTGGAATGCAGGTTTCAGCCAGCAGCTCCCTATCCCAAGTAGCACAAAAAAAAAAAGCCACGTGTGTATTTGTCCTCCTTTGAAAATCACTTTGCCTTAGGGCTGGAAGCAGAGTTAGATGCTGGGATCGTGGAGTACCAGCCCCCAGAGAAGAGCATCCCTGACAGAAAGGGGAACACCTACACCGCCTGCCCTTATGTCATCTCCAAGCTTCAGCATCAAACTCAACCTGGGCTGCCGCCTGATGTCAAGTAAGGCCTAAGAATCAGTAATAAAACGTGTGATTGCAAGACCAACCCGTGTCTACAAACTGGAATGCAAACTGGGCTGCGTGCCAGAAGAGGTGATCTTCGCACCGCCATCCAGTTGCCAAGTCGGGATGATTATGGATGAACGTGCTAATTATGCTGCGGAGCATCACTGGGCAGTAAGAACCATGCACTAATAAAAAACCTGGTAGAAAAGACAATTTTTTCACATGCCCCCTTTTGCTGCTCAGATTTTGGGGGCCGGTTAGCTCAGTCAGTTGAGCGTGGCGCTAACAACGCCAAGGTCTCGGGTGCGATTCCCCTTCGGTCCCCATGTGTTGCCTTATCGAGTCGAGAGGTGGCGTCCCTGGTGACAGCGAGGCTGGATTAAAATGATCTCTAAGGTCCCTTCCAGCTTAGGCCGTTCCATGATTCTATGATTTTGATCCGGAAACATCATTAGAAGATCCAGTCATCTCCAAGCTGGCCAAGACAGCTGATGCTGGGCTTATGACAAATACTTCTGTGCAACGCACTCTCAGTTCAGAGTCCGAACAACTCCTCTTTTGTGTTTCATACTTCAATGACCAACAGAAAGGAAAATTCAAGAAAAACCAGAGACAGGACAAAGAGGAGGAAGAAACAGGCTGCTGCAACGAATAACAGCAAGGAAAGGTCCCAGGGCAAATGTCAAAGCTGGGGAGCACTGTGACACACCTGAAGCGATACAAACCTTGCTGAGCTTCGGTCTGTCATAGGGCAGGTGTCTGTCCATCGTGCACATCACGATCCTGTCTGAGAAGCCCTCCTGGCGCAGGGTCTCTGCACAGACCAGTCCAGCCGCCCCTAGGGGAGAAGGAAGGCCGGTGGCAGCCGTGCGTGTGGCGCATTGGAAGGTCTGAGCCCTCTGCTCCTGAGCCCCACTGGTGCTGACTCCGAAATCAGCATCTCCACTATCATGGCCCTTCCCAAGTCACACAGCTCAGGGCAAGTCGGCGGCGGAGGACACGCCAGGCAGGAGTGGGGACGGCTCTGTGGAGCGTGCCGGCACTCCTCTGCAGGACTTGCCTGTCCCTAAATCACCCAAACCCACAAAGAGCCCGCTTCAGGGGTGCTGCCCAGGCCCACACACGTCCCACGAGCTGGGGGGCATGGGCAGACTTGCTCCCCTCACTGGGGAAGGGTCTCACAGCTCAGCTCTGGGTGAATCTCCAGCCCAGCAGGCGGGAGTCCCCACTTCTGCACCGCCGAGGTGTTGGGGGTAAGATTTTTGCACACCATTTCTTTGAGGTTTTTTTTTTCATTTGCTTGTTTCTAAACACAATTTAAAAAAAGGCTAAATCAAACAAAAAGCTGCCTTGGGGCGTGTTGTCCCCCTGCCGCCAGGCAGCCTGATGGGCACGTCTCTTCTTCCTCAGCCAAGCTGGTGAGACCCGAGTGTCCCAGGGAGATGTCCTGAGCCTCTTCTCAACCCAGGAAGCCTCGCTCCATGGCGGGTGTCGTAAGGGCCCCAGTTTCTGTAATACCAATGAAAGAAGATGGACCTGGACAGTCCCATGGTGTGGTCCGTCACCAAAATGCTCCTGTTGGTGGAGGTGGGGGGCAGTGGAACAAGAGCTAGGAGGACACCCTGGAGCATGCTGAGCCAGGACTGACGCCGCTCTGATGCCAGGGTGACCCTCCCATGAGGAAGGGGCCATGGTCACCTGCCCTCAGCTCTGCTGGGCATGGCTGGAGCTTGGTCCTCGATGCATGGCTGGATCTTCCCAACACTTGCTCCTCACAACCTCAGCTTTGAAATCTCCTTTCCCATCCACCAGAACAGACCTTGGTCTTTAACAGACCTGTAAATTTAGCTGGTCAAGCCTGAAAAAGTTCCTTCAGCACTGGTCAACATGGCCTGTGGTGACCTTGCTGAGGATTTTGAGGACTGTCCAGCCCTGCCACACACCAGGACAGCCCAAGTGACCTTGGGAAGTGGCCCTGTCATGTCTTGGCTTTCAGTCCAAATGTCACCCAGCAGCATGGGAAAAGCCAGCCAGGCTGGTTTCCCCTCCATTAAGGCCGTGAGCTGCAACTTAGACAGCAGGAGCAGCTCACAGTGTGCTCCCCATGTCCACAGCTTGGATATGCTGAGCTGGAGGCTGTAATCAAGTAACAACCCACGTGCTAGGAGCAGCCATTCCCTCCCAGCCCCAGGTCCAACACTGGAAAGCTTGTGTCCTCCTCCCACTCTCCATTTCACCACAACATGGGCCAGCTTGGCATCCAACCCATTCCAGAAACAAACAAACTTGGTAGACGGAAGTCATTCCATCAGGTTGCCTAGAAAAATTGTTTTAGACAAATGGAGCTGGGACAAGAGGTAAGGAAAGATAGCTTGGCAGTTTTGCCATCGCATTCTGAGATTGGATATTTTCTGGGAAGATGGAAGGATTGATCTTCAGAGAAGCACCCTGAGGCAGGAGCTTTGGAGCTGCGAGCGGCTGCAGTGGGGTGAGATGGAGATGGGAAGGCTCCAAGGGGAAAAGGTGTGTCTACATCACAGGAACACCTGAGAAGACTTTACACTCACTGGTTGTGGAAAACAGGGGTTACTGATGTATCTGGAGAATGTGTAGAGGGAAGAGGGTTCAGGGGACACACACAGCAGTCCCAGCACATGCCACCCCATACCTGCACCGATGATCAACACGTTGGTACTGCTCAGGTTATAGTTGTTCAAGGAGATGCACTTTGCCATCATCTTTGTCCTCCTCTGTGTCTGAAGAGCCTATGCCACCATAAACAAGAGAAGTCATTATCTTCTCTCCCTTTATCCCAAGTA